GTGGAAATGAGAGAAGAAGATCTTGATTTTTTCTACATGCCTGCTCTTATGATTACATAGAGACTAGTGTATATGATGAATAAAAAGAATGAACAGAAAAATTGGACTCGGTACGACTTTTTAATTTTTCTAACATGTTACTTTCAATATTCTGTTCGTATAAATATAATTTGAAACAATGTTTGTGTATCCATTTAACAGGTCTTATGATAAACTAAAGAGTTCCAACAACTCTACAGTTAATTGGGAAAAAAATGGCAAAGAACGAAAAGAAGTGAAATATACGTTGTTGAACGACTGATTTTTTTATAAATATTTTCTTATATATTTTTTATTAGATATTAATACCTATATTATTATTAATGTTTTGCTTTATTACTCTCTACTATGTTTCTTAGTACACGCATGAACTAAAACACTATACTTCCATTTTCTATTTAACATATTCAGGTGAGATCTTTTTCTCTAATTTCCACTTTTCAATATTAATGAGCTTTTCCTCTTATCTCAAACTTGAAAAAGAAAGAGATTAGTTCCATCATTTTTTTTCTATTAATGAAGTACTTCAAGATTATATTTCTAATTTTTCCGAAAGCAATTCAGCATCGTCCAAAAAATATACATGTTATGTCGGATATTTCTATCTTCTATTGCTACATATTGATTATCTGTAAGAAGGGAAAAAAAAATTATTTTTCTTAATTAAGATGCTTACACCTTCTATGATTACTAGTAGACAGCTCCACAGGGGACTAGAACAAGGCTCAGTCTCCCTTCTGCCTATAACCTCTGACGCCACCATTAATAGTTATGAAGTAAGCAAACGAAAAATGAATAGTCTTTGCCTAAGAACAAATCAAAAACAAAAAGATGCTATATTTCTGTTCAAAGTAAATCATCAATCAGAGCGAATTTTTGACGATAAACAAAATATAATTTTCAATCAACCAGACATAGAAAATTTTCGCATTTTCTGAACAAACATATCGACTTTTACTCGATTTTTATGCGTGTTTTTCGATTTACTTTTTTGTCCAATTTCGCCAGATTTATGCAGAGAAGTGGCTAAAAAATTATTTTGCACAAAAATTGTTCATTATACCTCAAAAAATTGAAGTTTTGGGTGTAAATGAAATACAATTTTTTCATGTGTACATATAAACAACTACTTGTTTTCATTGTTTATTAGTTATTTTTTGCTCAATCTATCTCTTTTTGATTGTATAAAGCTTTTGTTTTTCTAACAAGATATGAATGGGAAATGCCAAATCCGTCTTGAAAAGTATATGCATGCTAATATTGCTTGTAAAAAACATACGAGAATGATATTTTGCTAATGTGCTTTTAGATATATTTGAAAAAATAAAAAGTGTACATTTATTTTTGCGTTCCATTTTGAAATCTAATTTTATTAGCACATACGTGTGGGCATGGTGGCATACAGGCACAAGTTTGATTATGAAAATTGTCTTCACCTACTGCTCACAGACATACACATCCATACCCATAGCTTAGTTATTGTTAAGAATATAGACGCTGACATTCTTCTTGTACATGCTTGCATTTTTCTGTACTTGTATACTTCAATAATGCCATCCAACGTATAGCCTTACAAAGAGATGAGATTATAATTAAAGTCAAAAATACCCATTGGCCAGTCAATAATATATGTAAAAGGATAGATAATCATCTACTTCTAATTATATCGATTGATAACGAAGAAAACATGATCCAGTAACAAAGCGTGTACTACATTCAAATTTAATGAAATTCAAAATGATCGGATAAAATCTCTACCAAAAATCAAGCTGGCTTTGTTTATTTCAAAACTGTTGGATACAGTATATGAATTCCAATGGTTCCTTAGATATTAACTAATATCTGGCAAAGAAAGATTGAATTTGACTTTTCTTTGAATTTTCATCCAACTATTTTCAGTCTGAATGCATTTAAAAATTGTTATCATTGATATCAGATTATCTCTGTGTAAAAAGAATCTGGATTAAGGATCAGATTAATAATTGATTATAATGTCACTACTATAATCTGATTTTTCAGCTTTAAAAGTCAGATTTTATTTGATTTTGATTTTTTTAAATCTATTTTAATCGATTATTATAGTCTTTGTAGGTAACCGATTAAAAAATCGAAATCAAATAAAATCTGACTTTTAAAGCTGAAAAATCAGATTATAATAGTGCCATCATAATCGACTTTTTATCTAATTCTTAATCTAGATTCTTTTTATATAGGCTAGTTACAAATTGATGTGATCCTAATAATGATAGAATGATGTACCAGGTCAGATAAAAAACTTTTATTCGATAAATTTATAGTAGAAAAATCTCGTTTATTTTATATTTCTAATATGTTTGTTCAGTAGGAATTTCGTATAGTACCAACGATGTTAACTCATAAGCGATACGCAGATTCATAAGAAACAGTGAAGAATTTTTTAAAAATTACTAATTGAAAGTGCTGTATTAGTCAATGTTTATTTATTCGTAAAGCTATAAGATTGTGTTTTACATACATCGTTTCTACAAACGAGGAAAAAAGATATTTGGATCTTCTCAGCTAGTCCCATCTATTCGAATGACTGTGAATGAGTTATTCCACTCTTGTGTTTTTTTCTAGAAGTTTATGTATTGGAATATGAGATAGGATTTTCTCTTTTTTTCACATATAGAATTTTTAAGAAGAAGTTTTGAATCATAAAACGATATATATATATATTGTTTTCCATGAGTTCAGACAGTTTAAAGAATCGTTAATATAAAAAATTGAGCATAAAATACTGTTTTTACATTATTGACAATCGAGATTTTTGTCTTGTTAGTTACTGAAACTAGACATATTCGAGTCAATTTGAAGTTTTTCTCAGAAAATCAACAAACTTTAAATACAAACTATTCTTGAAGTGCAAGAACCGAGATATTGAAATTTTAGGGTAGTTATTGTATAGATAAGAAGCTTACAATATGTAGAGTTCTTTTTTTTTTTCTGTGATAGTTAGATAGAGCTCTTCAAATTGAATAAGAGTGTTTTTCAAATTAAAAAAACAATATTTATTAAAATTAGAAATTAAAAATCTGTACTCTCTTATTCTGAAAAAACTATGGTATTCTGGACGCTTTTCGTGTTACGTTGTTTTCTAATTTGAAGCATACATTTTGTTATGCAAATTGATGAGTTCTATCCAAACATCATGTGACAGGAAAAAAAAACTTTGCTGAAATGTTCAAGTATGAACCATGAATTGGAAACAAAAGAACAACAATTATCTAGAATAACGGCTTAATAAATTTTTTCAAGTATATTTGAAGTTATGTAGTAATTTAGTTTTTTTTTTGTATAACCGTTGCTAATAAGCGACAAAATATTATACCTTATTGAAATTAAAATACAATTAATTGTTGAATAAAGACTAGGAATTTTTGCAACAACAACTATACCTTTGCCGTAAGAGACATGTAAACAATCGTAAACAAAATGAGTATAATGTGGTGTGCCTTTTATGTTTTTAAATGCTCAGAATTTTTTCAATATTTTTTTGCGAAAAAACACTGAACATCTCTCGCCATTGAAAATTTTGATGCCAAAAATCTGTACAAAAAAGAAAACAAAGTCTATAGACAATGAAAAACAATTTTTCTAAGATAAAATTTATACAAAAAGTGACATGTCTGTCTGACTAGGTTAAACACGAAAAGAATTGGATAACAAAATTTTTAGTCCATAGAAAATCAAAAATTTAATTATATGATGTACGATAGGTGTTGTTTGGTTGAAATAATCTTTTAACTACTTTTCTTTTAATTATGCCTTAAAAGTTTTTGTTAATTCATGATAAACATATGAATAAAACAAAAATCTCACATATGTCGTTTCTTTTAGCAACTGCGATGTAGTTCGATCATAATCGAACACATGGGTCTATAAGAATTGGCATCATTGCCTCTATATTTCATAGAAACACAGATAACAAATTTCTATTGAAATGACATAATTATCAGATTTGTCGAAATGATTGCGATGTTTTCTTATGTTGCGCATATAGTAGCTTAGGAAAACAATAAAATCTTTAATTTTTTAAAGATATACTATGAAACGTTTAACAAAGTTCTGTAAAAGAAATTTCTATTGATTTGATCTAATGATTTCTTCATGATCAAAATAAACCATCTGTTGGATTATACTATTTTCAGTCATATTGAACATAATAATAACCATGTAAACAAAAAAAAACAGTCAAACACTCATATTAAAATTGATCTTCTTACAACAATCTCACAAATTTGATTAAATTCCACAAAATAATAGATTAAAAATTTATGAATACGAGTGATTCAAATAATCATGAAAAATTAGAAGTTTCATCTTCAAATCTGAAATAAGCCACTCATTTTTCATATGTATGATTAAAAGATAATAATGGTTAAAAATATTCAGGTTTAAGATTATATAAAATTGATTGAAACTAATTTTATTTTTAATTTCAAACATAATTAAACTTGCATTATAATTGTGCCATTATATTGATATTTTAATCATAAAAAAGTCTAATTTAATAAGATTTTTTTTTTTCATTGTTTTTATCTGGGTACAGAAGAATTAAGAAAGTTCCTAGCTCTTAACCTTTACATATTTAACATTCATTTTCTATTTTCAAATATAAGCAAATGAATGTTACTATCGATTGACAAAACACCATATGGTTATGTTTTGTTTTTTCTTACTTGATACGAAAAAACAGACTTTTTAAAATACATGCTATCGATTCTATTTTTCTTTTATCTATTAAATAGAATTCAAATGATATTAATTAAGAGAAAAGAAAAATATTTTATCGAATTTCTTAAACACCACCATTATGGACTCAATTCTGAGACAAAATTTACATTTATTGTTATCTTTTGTTGAATAGGATTATACTAAATTTTTTTTTCTAATTTATTTATCAAATTCTTTGTTTTGTTTTATTTTTTTAAATAGTTATCATGAAATCTATTTTTCTTTTCATTCTGATTCTATTTTATACATGTTCCTTTATAAATAGTAAGAATTTAATGTGAAATGAAATCTTCTTTTATTCCTATATTCTTATATTGAAGGTGAATCTACATCAATAAATGGTATTATAAAATCCTATCAAAATGAATCAACATGGTTATTAATGAATACAACTCTTGTACTTATTATTAAACATGATATTAATCATACTGATGTACATCATTTAAAATTAAATCTTAGTCAATCATCATTTCCGATTAATTTTACTATGAAAAATTTAACTGAAATTAAACATAGTGATGAATATCTTTTATCATTACTTATTTTTGGTTATCCTCATCGATTATTATGGGAAAGTATTCTATTTCGACAATATTTGATAATTAATACAAAAAATTTTCTTACATTTATTGTTCAAGATGTTTGTAAATAATATTTCATTATTAGTTTCTATTGTTTATCTTATTCTATTCTATGTTTTTTTTTTAAATAGCAAATCTACTTCAATGTTTATCTGAAGGATATCCATGTGTCAATGTACAAAGTGAACCTACTGCTTTCATATCTATATGCTGTAGTAATACGAGATGTGAACGGTCCAATAATAATCAATTACAAGAATATACTTGTGGACGCAGACCTCCAGGTTAAAATCGTTTGTTTTTTTTTTGCAATTATAGATATACATTTATTAACTTTGTTCTTATAGTTATTATAATCATAAATATTACATTTACTTTACCCGAGGGTATAGTACCTCAATTAGGACCAGTTGATCAAATTTCATTGGAAATGATAAGAAAACAGGTGAGCTGATTACGAAATTAATCAATCCAATTTAATAAAGTTGATAAACATCGAAAATGTTGAATACAAAATGAGATTGTTGGAAATTTTTCAATACATCATTGCCTATGTCTAAATAGAAGAAAATATAGATTTTTTTTACTGTTGTTGAGTACAAGAATAATAAAAGAATGTAGATATATGAAGAGAAAATGACAGCCACACTTGAATTCTCGTACTTTTTTTTTTAGTACAAATTATAAATTTTTTCGACATTTTGACTTTTGATTTTTTTTTCCCATAAACTTCGATTGTATTGAAAGTTCATTTTGCCTTCTAATAGATTCAAGCAATTTCAGCTCCAGGTGATTTAATAAAAATAATCAAGGCTGTTTTCGTTCGAATTCGACATAAACATCGGTATGTTTTTATAATTCATTATTTCTATAAGAACTATATGGAAAATGATTTTATCTATATTAAATAACATATACGAGCACTGTTATTTGTAAATATTTGTTTTTTTTATTTTAGGCGAAAGCGTTTCATAATATTGCCTAATAAGTATATACTTATCGTTGAAGCAACAATAACTACTCCTGTAGTATGTCGACGTAATCGACAGAATTGTCAAACACAAACCATTAATAATATAAAAAATAGAAAAATGCCGATGGTCATTAATCGAAATGATGACTCGACAATACTGGTAGAATTTGACAAACCTATAGTTAATATTATTAATATGTCGGGTGGAGAATCAACTACTACAGGTAATAA